GTCTATGACTTCCACGTCACATGCCACACTAAGACCCCATTGACCCCCAAAAACTGTAAACATCTACTGTATCTATCGCTCGCATGCAAGACAAACTTATTATCATAGACCAACATGTTGAACACTAACAACTCAGGCACCAAAATGCATTCTCTTTGTTGAGATGCACTTCAACTCGACCAATCTGAGATTGAACAAACTAACATATGTCAAACTCCATGGCCCATGACAATATGGTCTCTAGCCAACCTGCAGGGCTTTCTTGAGCTCAGCATGTTGAGCCTGAAGGTCCTCCAAAACGAGCCAGATTCAACATCTGAACAGTACTCAATCTTGGAGAACAAACAAAGAAAACAACGATGACATCTTGCTGGCAGGTCAAAATCAGTGAGAACAGGTCCTCTAGGGCCTTCCTGTCATGCGACTCACGTTCCTTGCCGGCTGGACTAAGCTGCTCAACTGGATGCCACATGATGGCAAATGAACTTTTAGTTGAATCACAATATTTCTCTACGGGGATTCATTACTTGTGTACATCTTGCGACGAACAAGGTCTTTCCGTTTGCTCTCAAGCAGTACCACACAAGCTGCCTGCAGCGGAGCTTGTTCCAGCTTGGCTTGCTGTAGCTCAGCCCCATGTTGTCTCCTAAGTTCCTGCAACTCTTGCATGATCTGCACAATGAATCTCCACTCCATGCTGCAAGGCATCCCTGCTTAAAGATCAATAGCTGTCAAAAGCCAGCAACCGGAAGTGCTCCCATGATTTTGTTTGTTGTTCTTCTCTCCTCCAATGCCAACTGGTGCTGCCCATCCTTCTCCTGACAAACTTGGGATCTGCTATGCTGGTCTACGACTTGAACGTCACATGCCACACTAAGACCCCATAAAACTTTAAACATGTATATATTGCTCGCCATGCATGACAAACTCATCATAGACCGACATGTTGAACACACACACAACTCAGGCACCAAAATGCCTTCTCTTTGTTGAGATGCACTTCAACTCGACCCATCTGAGATTGAACAAACTAACATATGTCAAATTCCATGGCATTGTAGTGCTCAGCTTCTCTAGCCAACCTGCAGGGCTTTCTTGAGCTTAGCATGTTGAGCCTGAAGGTCCTCCAAAACGAGCCAGATTCAACATCTGAACAGTACTCAATCTTGGAGAACAAACAAACAACAAAAAACAGGACATCTTGTTGGCAGGTCAAGATCAGTGAGAACAGGTCCTCTAGGGCCTTCCTGTCATGCGACTCACGTTCCTTGCCGGCATGACTAAGCTGCTCAACTGGATGCCACATGATGACAAATGAACTGTTAGTTGAATCACAATATTTCTCTAAGGGGATTCATTGCTTGTTGTACATCTTGCGACAAAACTACACAGCAAACAAAAGACTTTAACCGTGAGCCAAAGTTCAACCGCTTCTGATAAGAGTTGTCATTTATCAAAAATCTTACCAAAACAAACTACCTGGTAACTACCTGTTTGCTTGCGTAGAGGAACAAGGTCTTTTCGTTTGCTCTCAAGCAGTACCACACAAACTGCCTGCAGCGGAGCTTGTTCCAGCTTGGCTTGCTGTAGCTCAGCCCCATGTTGTCTCCTAAGTTCCTGCATGATCTGCATAATGAATCTCACCACTCCATGCTGCAAGGCATCCCTTTAAAAAAATATCAAAAGCTGTCAAAAGCCAGAAACAGGAAGTGCTCCCCAGAACATGTTTAGGTCTTATTTTGTCTTCTCTCCTCCAAAGCCAACTGATGCTGCCCATCCTTCTCCTGACAAACTTGGGATCTGCTATGATGGTCTATGATTTGAAGGTCACATGCCACACTAAGACCCCATTGACCCCATGAAACTTTAAACATCTATCTATCGCTCGCCATGCAAGACAAACTCATCATAGACCGACATGTTGAACGCAAACAACTCAGGCACCAACAAAAACATATTTTTGTTGAAACGCACTTCAGCTCGACCAATCTGAGATTGAACAAACAAACATATGTCAAATTCCATGGCATTGTAGTGCTCAGCTTCTCTAGCCAACCTGCAGGGCTTTCTTGAGCATAGCGTGTTGAGCCTGAAGGTCCTCCAAAACAAGCCAGATTCAACATCTGAACAGTACTCAATCTTGGAGAACACACAAACAAAACAACAATGACACCTTGTTGGCAGGTCAAAATCAGTGAGAACAGGTCCTCTTGGGCCTTCCCGTCATGTGACTCGCGTTCCTTGCTGGCTGGACTATGCTGCTCAACTGGCTGCCACATGATGGCAAATGAAATGTTGATTGAATCACAGTAGTTCCTTGAGGGGATTAATTACTTGTTGTACGTATGTCTGGTGGCAAAATACGACAATGGGTTCAACACACACTCGCCATTAATAAAAGGCGGTAACACAAGTCTACTGCGTCTGGTAAGAATTGTCAATTTTCCAACATCTTAGCAGCACAAACTACCTGTTTGTGTTTTCGGAGGAACAAAGTCTGTCCGTTTGCTTTCACGCAGTTTAGCATGCAGTGCCAGATTGTTCAACACTTCACTCGCTTGTCAAAAACAAAAACAATCCCAAATGTAATGTTCGAAGCTACTCCTCAAGAGTCTTTTGATGCTGGCACTCCTTCTCCTGGCAAGCAATTTGATTAAACAAATACTCCTCTTCCAAAGAATGCAGAGGCTAGATCAAACCGAGATGTCCAAACAGCACATAATTTTGTAGGCGCCAATTTAATCAAGTAAGGGAGAAGTATTAATAAATATACAGTAAAAAAGCTACTAGAAATAGGAAGCTCCTCGCTACGACGCAGGATAGCTCACGCCGCACTAATGAGTTGGTGATATTAATTTGCTTCCTAGATGTGTGTTGGAAACTTGACAATTCACACTGTACACAACAAATCATCAGCGCCAAAGCAGCCAATTGAAAGTGCCTAGTTCACGGTTCGCTTTCCGCCTCTTAGCCTAACGATCTGCCTTCGATTTGAACATCACATGAAACTCATGCTGTACATCCTACGGTGAAAACACCATATTCCTGGGATTCTCTTCGGCACCACTGTGCTATACGGTTTTCTTTTCTCAGAATCAACACGGTCCACCCGAACCCCACTCGTCGTTGGTCCAACCTGGTCCTCTCGGACTCCGGGTCGGGCGTGCCCGGACGACGACGAACCAACACGGCTCACCGAACGATCTCGCATTCTTCTGCGGGTCCGGCCGAGATCTCAGGCGGGTTTTGGGGGGTTTAGGGGTGTCGTTGTTGTGGTTTTCTTCGAAAAAGGGGATCAATTGATCGGCATCTCTATGCCAGCAAAAGAAACAGGTCGTGTCTGAATGTGTCTGAAGTCGCAAACATCACTGCACACTGATTGACATCATGGCAGGGAGGCTCCGGTGAGGTCACTCTTCTAGCACATGGGCGATCTGTTTCTATCTCAGTCGAAAAGAAGTGGTGTCATGTTCTTCATTCTTCCATTCTCAGGTCCTGCTGGTCACTTGTCACACAAGAGACATGTGGCCTCGTCATGGTGTGTGCCGAAATGGACCACACTTGATAGCCTTGGAAACTTCGGCTCCTGCTCCTGCGGAGTGCCCAGGAAAGCCACGGCCGTTGAAGCTGAAGTGACGGCAACCTTCTAGATCCACCTGATTTCCAGCAACCTACCGTAGATAGTGGCTGTCGTCCAATCAAACAGAAAACAGGAAGACTGGATGTGACTGGATCCATGAATGTCTATGACGCCACCTGGTGGATGCCACTTTGTGTGAACTTGGATTTTTCCACCTGTGAAGTATCTCGTGCTATTTGTTTGTCAACAAGTCCAGCTCTTACTCGTGCAGTCTTGCCGGAGCCCCAAAAACACAAAGTGACCTTGGGGACCTTGGTCTGCTGTTGCTCCGTGGCAGTCTTGGAGCTGCCGTTCGTTGCCTTGCAACTTGCAAGCACTAGAGTCAAATGGACACGATAAAACACAAAGAACATAGAATAGGTTCATGTGTAAAAAACCTTGCAGAAATAGCCGTCCGCTAAGTTCAGCAAAACGAAAACCAGCTAAATATGCTAAATATAGAACCATAATTTGCTGAGATCAGGAACTCTACCTGACAAACAATTTCAATTTGAGGGATGCAATGCATTGTCTCTTTTGTCTGCGGCAAGTAAAGCATTCCACAAACAAATCTTTCAGTACACTATTGACATCATGCCAACGAGTCCCCACAGAGCCATACATACATATGTAGCAAACACAAAAATGAGCAAATCTATGATGTTATGATGTTTGTTTGATTTTGTTTGAGTGAAACATGTTCTACAATTTATGGCATAATGGTAATGATGGTCCTATGATTTGTTGGCAGTCGTTGAGCAATGTGTACTTCTCTTGCAGCGGACATGTGGCCTCTTCATGGTGTGCTCCGAAATGGACCACACTGGATAGCTTTGGAGCCTTCTCCTCCAGTGCGGACAGTGCCTGTCCAGGAAAGCGGCCCTTTTGGGTTGAAGCTGAAGTGATTGAACTGGGGATCTCCATTCTGGATCCACCTGATTTGCAGCGACATAGGTGGCTGTCGACGAATCAAACTGAAATCAGGAAGACTGGGCCTTCGTCTGTGGCTCCACGACAGTTTTGGAGCTGCGGTTTGTTGCCTTGGACAGCAATGGAATCAAACGAGAACATTAAAAAGCACAACACCACCCATATCACCCCATTATAGACATCAAACGACTTAATTAATTGAAGAGCTTGTTCAAAAACATTAAACATATAATGACATACTATTTCAAAACCTCGTTCAAATGAACACCTTGTCCGTAGTTGTAACACTCGCTGCTGTTGCACACTAGTGAATTGTCAGGCAAGTGACTTCCAAGCAAACTGCCAAACTGCTGTAAAGTAGATGCTCAACACCGACCCGGGTGATCTCAAACATTCAAACCAAAGAAGCAAAGCCTATAGCGATATACTTGGAAGACCCACCATGACGCCAAGGAAGACCCACCCGGAAGTCCAAAACATCCGGTAGCATGTTCGCATCAAAACTGGTTGCCATACTGCTGGTCCACCCGTCAGGTTTTCTGCAGTGTTCGTTCGACTAAACTGGGTCAAAGCTTGCACCCGACCCGTTCAATGACTTCGAACACTTCCCAAATGGCCACGATGAGCATCTCGTCAAAGCGACCATGCGACAGCTCATACCCGATCCACTGTCACCTTCTCACGGTGATGTGCTCGACACGTTAACATCGGCATGGAGGGTCCAGTCATACCTTCGTTTCAACGCTTGCGGATACCCACAGGGATGGTTTCACTGAGCAGGCTGCCTGAGCTGTTGAGCGCTTCCAACGAAGATCCTGAATGGCCTTGTAGTCCTGCAGCAAACAAATGGTGCGTTGCAATCTGGATGTTCCAATGCCTCCAGTACAGCAACTCAGAGGGATTGTTAAAACAAACGGGCCATCTCGTTGGGATTACCGGTGTTCTCTCAGTAACCAACAAAACAATTGTCCAAAAAGCTTGAACAGAATGCAAACAACGGACGGACCCTGCAATTCCAGAGGCGCAGTCCGGGTAGACTCGTCTATTGAACCCGAACCAAACCCAGGGGTTCATTGCCTCAGAAAGGTCTCTGTGATTGAGAATGACATGCAAAATGAATACCTTGCATGCTCGCCCTATGCGAAACTCTGTGACACCTCAAAACCAGGTCTCTACACAGGATTCGGATGCTCTACCCTAGGGCTCAGAAGGTAGTCAGATCCTTAACCCACCCCAACGACCAAACCAAAACGGAGGGGGCGGCCAGGAGCCATATAGGGCGCCCTTTTGTCTTACACTCACCCAGAAGACCTGAAAAGACCATGAAAGACCGGCATTCTCCTTCGCCAAAGACACGAAGGAAGAATTGCAGTTGCTGACTCTGACGAGACGGAGCTATTGTCCTGCTAAAAGAATAGACCCTGGGGCTCCTGGCCCACCTCCTGAGAAGGTGGTTGGGGTGGGTGCCAGGGGGTCTAACCACGTTCTGAGGATATGGTTGGAGCCCTAGGGAGAAAAGAACGGATCATCGGGACAACCGAACTTCCACCTATCCATCACGTCGCACGTCACGACATTGCAAACACTCATACAACAGGGCCTACCCACTCACGTAACGCCCCGAGTATATAGAAGACATACCCATGACATACCCTCTCCACCACCGGACCCAGAAAACCCCCTCCAGCAGCGTCCTGCAACTTGCGTGCGTGAAGGTCATCGTGAGCCTTCAAGATCCACCGAAACGGGGCTCCGGTGGTCGTCCGGACGCTCCCAGGTGACCCAGTGGATAATGATGGTTAGGTTGTAGGCCTTCTTCCAAGGATTTGCTCGTTTGCTGACTGTAGCATGTTACAGGTATTAGAACAAACGTGAAACCCTATGGCCTTCTATGGACCTATGGGGTTCCCATCCCACATCTTCAGAAGGTATAGTTAGACCCTACAGGCACCCACCCCAACCACCTCCGAAACGTAGTTAGGTCAGGTCAGGAGCACTAGGGAAAAGAGGGCTCGGGGGTGATCCTTTTGGGGTGGTGTTCGTCCTGGCTTCGGTCGGGAAGTTCCCACCAAAAGGCAAGCCATCAAAAACCAAGCGACCTTGCAACCAAACGTCGGCCGCTCAAGCTACACAAGCCACCAAAAGCCGCAAAAGCCAGGCAAAAACTGAAGGCTGTTAGAAGCCAAAGCCATAGGAAGTCACAGAAGCCAGGACAGGAAACAACGCTAAAAGTAGAAACAAGCCCGAGCTAAAGTATACGGTCCATTGCAATACGTAGTCTGGTGATCTAGACTGACTGAAGATGAGAATTTGCCAATGTGCCTGATGATTCACGAAACACCAAGATCACAAAGATATATGAGCCCACTTGGAAATATTTGCAGTAATGTATAGATATGTATAGTACCCTGACTTTGCAAATAACTATATGCACATATGATAATGATGAACAATCCTTCAATGTTTCAAACACCGACCAAAAGCCAAACAACTCTGTGAGCCCTGCCCGCAGGGCTTGTTTTAGCTCAGCTTCATATTGACGCTTCTGCTCCTCCAACGTCCCAATGGACAGGGCAACTGAGAAGGAAACCGGTTCAGCTCAAAACAACTATTTAAACTAGATCGATGGTTATTAAGGGCAATGGAGCCATACACACAAAAGAGATCCCTGATGCCCTGTCCTGCAACAGCCTCTTCAACTCAGCTTCATATTGTCGCTTCTGTTCCTGCAGGCATGCCAAGTCCAACGATCAGATATGGCAAGAACGTCTACCCACTCATAACTAGGAAACGAAAACAGCAGTGTCTGCAACAAACAAAAGGTCCAAACTCGTGCGTGGCATCTGGCACACCATCTGGCTCCTAGAACACTTACAGTAGCTGGGATGCCAAGAAATCCGGGGCGTCCATCAATCCCAGCAAAATGCAACACAACCAATGACAACCACAGGTCGCCAGGGTAAACTCGCATGACATAGTTCCTACCCTCCACCTGCAACTGACTAATATGCAAGCGGACAAACCTAAAACAGATTGAAAAGGAGATATCATCACTTCGATGTGGTGAAGTGACATGTGCTGAATTATATATAAGAAACAACAACACTGCAAGTAAGATTCTCTCAGCCTGATAACACTCACATGGTGATGGGTCGTGACCCACCTCCTGATCCACCGCTTTTTTTCGTGAACGACCGACACCACTTAGCCGGTCTGGTGACCGCCAGAGAAGTCAGCAGAGTGTCTCGACACGTTCTGCCCATTTCCGCTCCCTTCACAGGCCTTGGTCCCCAAACCCAGGGGTTTGAGGCTCCGGACCCCTACTCAGAACCCTATGGACTATCCCAGTTGGGTACCCTAGTAAGGTTCTAGTTCAGGTCACTGTCCACCTCTCTTGGTGAACGGAGGCTCCATCGAACCACATCGGTCCTGCAGGGCTCGCCGGACGTCGCCTTCGTGCTGATGCTTGGTCGCCTTCGACTCGCCCGGTGCGTCGACTCGCCCGGTGAAGCGGCGGTTCAGCGGGTTCAGCGGGTGGGGTGAAGAGCCGTTGGAGCAATGGTCAGTCGTTGAAGGTGGAAGAAGGAAGCAAGAAACACACATACAAAACATCACAAACCACAACTGGGGCTGCATTCTATCCACTGAAAGGACCCAACAGTCCGTATATACTTGTGAACCACACTCCTGGCAGATGTACCTGATTGTACCTGCACAGCAACATCCAGAGCTCTATAATCTCTCTCTATATATCTCGATATATATAGTATATAGTTCCAAAGCCGCTTATCTACCCCCCTTCCCCACAAAAAGAACAAATACACACTCACACCGTTCGGAAGGGCATTCATTAGGAATATGGTCGCTTTTCAGCCCATCTAAGAGGTGAAACTCTTGGAACCTGCTGGTCCCTTCGTGGTCCGCCCTCACTGCCCCCTCGCCATCGGCGCGTCCGTAGGCCGCCGCAGCCAGCCTGGAAGAATCGTCCGTAGGCCGCCTGGTCCTCCTGGCGGGCACCCCTTTTTGGTTGGGACCGTTGACAAGGAAAATGAGGTTTGAGGCTCCAAATCAGACCATATGAGAAGGTGATTGGGATAGGGTTGGAGAGTCTAAGGATCTTCTGAGAAGGTAGGACTGGAGCCTTGGAGAGGTAACCAGTTGGACCTTTGACTGGCTCTGATAGACCTACATGCCTTGATTCCCCCAAGTTGGCCTAGTTGGGAACTGCACCCAGTTCGCAGTAGACGAGCTGAAAGACACAGTGATTCAAGGCCCCTGTGTCTATCACGATAACTGGTTGCCCAAGTGCCTAAGCTTGCTACCCTGCATGGAAGAACCATGGAAGTGGACTTCACTCCCTGCTGGCATCCGTGGACTTTACTTACATCATTGATCCTGTCGTTTTCCTCATCTTTTACCCAGCTAAAAACTGGGATTTGGACGAGGATTTTTGAACTCACCCAGTGTGTTCGGTAGAGGAAAGACGTCTTCGTAATCTGCACCAAGCCTCCTCATGACCCTTGTTCCCCTTCCGCAGGTGATGGGTGAATTGGCGCATTGCCCCGGCTGGGCTCGCCAATCGAACAAGGGTTGGATTCCAAATCCAGAACACTCACTGACGGTCATGCCCGTACCTGAAGGATGTACTGCAAAATTATGACAATTTATGACATGTATAAATATATGACATTGCAGTAAGAAGAAAAAACATGTCATGTACATATAGTAAGATAGAATACTGGGAACACTTCGAGGAAAGAACCACCTAACAGCCTTGATCCTCGACGAAAGAAACCCACCGGTGGGGCACGACGGTGCGTCAGAGCTTCCAGGCTTGGCAACGACCGCCTAGAAGGATCGGACCAGGGCGGCCAGGGGGGTCAACTGATTTCACACAAGTCCCCATGGGAAGGAACACCACGTCGCCTTTGATCTATTTCAGGTGAAGCTCATGAGCAACTCAGCAGTTCAGGATGGTTTCCCTCCCACACCCCGGTCCTTCAACTTTGTTGACAGGAGATCCTTCTCCTGCTTACGATGCTGTCCCAAATTTCCAGCACTTCTAACCAGAGCTTGTATTTGGATCCTCCTTTTCCCGAGAAGCTAGGAATAAACCAAACTCGCCCTTCAAAGTCACTGCAAACACCTCAAGCTTGCATAGGTCGTGATCATAGGAATGGCAACGGGTTATCGCAGCACGTCCCCAACTTCTCTGGGTCAACCAACACTTTCATCAACTTTAACTTTCAGTTGTTGTTGCGTGCGCTTTCATCTCCTAACACACACACACATGCACACATACATCCAAACCCAAACACTCCATGTATATGTAATAGGTATACGATGGTATACAGTATACCGGTATACCTATAAATAGGATCATTTGGAGGGGTTCTCGGAAATCACCTTTCAATATCTCACAGAAGACCTTGAAAGTGATCCCCATCCTACCTTCGAACAGAACGGAACCAAAGGAGCCTGCAGACCGAGTACCCAAACACCTTCGAAAGAATAGGGAGACCGAGACCAGGAAACGGCGAAGGTTCGGGACGACCCGACTCAAATACACACCCATGTGGAGCGAAAGAACACTTCTGGCGGCTTTTGCATGCTTTTGCACCTTCTGGAGATCCTGTGTTCTGGCAAACAATGCCTCAAGACGAGACGAGCACCAAACAAGAACCAAAGCCGAGGAACAACTCAGCTATACTGCATTACTGCATCGAGGGGAAACACATGGTAAAAGTCTATCAAATAGTCTAGAACGCCCTGAACGTGGAACACATTGAACACACCGCAAATCGTTCCACATGAAGCTTGGGAACGCCGTGAACAAACCGTTCGAAGGATACCAACGGGCCGAACGCGTCGGGCACAGCACGGACTGTCGTCGTTGAGCTTGTGACGACTTCAAAACCGGTTTTGAAGCGGAGTGCTTTCGGATGGCAAGGGACGCACACGACAATAATACCCTTGCAAATGATCGAGCTCCAAATACCTTGTGAAATGGTACCTATAAACATCCTCCGTGCTTGACCACGGAGATCACTTCCCGGGCTCATAAAGAGGTGTCAACTGACCCAGCGCGGAGGGTACTGTCCGACCTTAGACCTAAACCAACAAAACTGAGGTGAAATTGCTGATGGAGCAAAGCATCACTGGTTGAGGTCCTGACACGCTACTAGGAAAGCTGGCACGAATGGTTCAATAAGTACTTGGAGGGTCCAAGTGGATGGATTCCTTCTGATCTTCTACTCCCGCAGAGGGGCTTCCTGATGGTTCTCAATGGCCAGCTGCAAGGCAGCATGATGTTGAGCCAGCTGTTCCTGCCGTCAGACGGGTCTCTCGCATGTTTCCCAGTCCCGTAGACGGGTCTCTCTCTCGCGGAGCGATGCCGTCAGGCGGCGGCTTTGGACGTCTCGAGACGGTGAGGACGGTGAGGTAAGATGGTTTGACCGACTGAGTCGGGCTGATGGTCAAGAACATCAAAGCTTCATGGTGTGTTTACTGTTTTGTATGGTTGGTTGGTTTTAGACTTTGGATTTGATAAGGAGTTCAAATTGCCAAGAGGAAAAGAGTATCTTTATGAACTGGCTGACACTTCAATGAAACAAGTTTATTGATCTAGTTGATTTGAGACGGTGGGGAGGCGCAAACTATGACATGAGGGCACCACCAATCTATTGGACAATCGCCTTTTGGAGCCTGATAAGAGCAGCAGAAAAACCGCCCAGCCTCAGCACTGCTGGCTGCATGTAATTACAGGCATTCATTTCCTTGACTAAACCCAGATCAACCCCCCTAGTGCTCTGTCCCACATCCTCAGAAGTAAGACCTGCCTGACACCCACCCCACCTTCTCGCGTGGTGATTGGGTCGACATGCCCGAGACTATGACATCGAGGCGCCTGCAAAGCTTCGCGCTGTTCCAGTTGTTGATCCTGAGCAATCGACCCTCAACGGACAACGTGTGAGAACGTGTCACAAAAAAACGGATTTGGAGAGATGCTCCCACAAAAAGAGCCAACTGACTAGGGGTAAACAACTACTGGTTTATACTTAATTGTACAGGACATATTGCTTCTCCATGTTTTATCATTGTAAAACATGGTTGAGCCAATAGGATTGAATCTGAATTGCTTTCGACACCTCTGGAATTGAATTGTTTTTTTGCCCACTGATCATTGCAGGACCATGTCGATCCAGCTGTCACTTTTGCATTCATTAATCGAAGTGTGTATGTTTGATATACACAAATGGTAATTCGTTAACTATATATTATAATATATCTGGATCTTCCAACTATGCAACATGGCCTTTTGGCTGGTTTTATAAAGTCATACAGTAGATGAACAGAACAGATCAATTGGGCACCGTTGGAAGATGGTCTCCTTCGGCGACGCCGTCACCGGAGCACGTCTCGAAGGGGATGGCTCAGACGCGACGCCACCCCAGGCCTGACCCCGAAACCAACCACCCCTCACCCCTGATCGGTACCCTACATGGAGTGTCTGGGAATGTTGAAATATCTTATGTAACCATTCCAGATCACATGGAGGATCTGTTTTTTGTTGGAGATCTTCAAAGAACACAAGTGGTGCGCGAAGCTCCACTTCAAAGTATATAGCCGTGTGAATCCAACTTCCACTGCTGGGAACCACTCAAACAGACCTTTGAGCTGTGATCCGCTGCGAAAATATTGCTGGTCACTCCAACCAATCAAGGGAAAAATAACATCCATCTCTTGTTCTTGTCACATGTCTTTATCCCTCTCCTGCAGAACCTGCATCGCCAAGCTGATTGTTGCACGATGCTGAGAAGCTTGCTCCTGGAATGCTAAAAACGGACGGACCCATCTGGATGGACAAACGTCCTCGAAAAGGGTGTCATCCTAGATCTGCTTTTTGCTTGCAGAAAAGAGGGTACCTTCGCTGATATCGAACCATCCCAGTGATGACCCTGGTTGACCACCTACAAGCTGGATTGTATGCCTCCAAGTATAGTATTATATACTCAGGTTTCACACGTGAGTCGTTGAGCACGAGTGGTAGTATATAGTATGGGAAAGTCTTTGCTCTTTGCGCGGTTTCGTCCGCTGCAAGTGTGTGGTCATCACTACGGCAAGATTATCCATTATCCATGGCACTCTCTTGCGCAGGAAGGGTCATTCGATGTCGTTCGTGTCGATCTTCTCTCCTCCAAAGCAGCATTGTGTCGATCTTTTTGGTCCTGACCAGATGGAAACTGGATCAGCTGACAGAGTATTCTTGAGTATTCCTCTGGATCAAGAATACAGATCCAAGGATCCAGAGAACTGTATGCCATGCATATTCAGCTGAGTATTTCTCCGGATCAAGAATACAGTTGTGCTACAGCCGTGTGGGGTTGTGGCATACAAAAGAACATGTGTACGATCAGCCCTCAGCACCTTGACCTAACATCTTCATGCCATCTCGACTCAGGTCCTGGCTTTACCTGACCTGGTCTTCCATCCAGATGACGCAGGCGAGTTACGCAGGCGAGTTGTCAGGAACATGTTTGCATTTCTAACGTGGCCTATGTCTAAATGTTACATCGCCTTACATACTTTCGTAGATGCCGCAATCCCCAAGTTCGGTATATGGACCCCTCCAAAACCCTCCAAAGGGGTACCCGTGCCTTCAGACTAGAAAACGTGCCATCGGCTTCTCCCATGACCCCCCCACCCCTCCGCAGCTCCCCCGTCCGCAGTTTCCTCGCATCCACCGCCTTTGCACGGTTCGCACGGCGCTCCTGGAGTGCAGCGTGGTGTCGGGCTCGCTCCTCCTGCGGGTCGCGGCACGGGTCGTGGCACGGGGCCGTGTGTTTTGGGCCGTGTTCAGAGCTGATCTGTCGGCGAATTTGTTGGGAATTCCTGGTGTCCAGGGCCAAGTCCTCAAAGCTGTCACGGATATATGCCCAAGTTGCTCAAGTCTTCTTCTTCTTCACCTGTTGATCCTGTTGCTTCTGCTTCTGCTTCTTCTTCTTCTTAGAATCTCCGTCCCGAACGACACCTGTGCTTCTTCTTCATCTTACACTTGCACCCCACGGCTTCAAAAATCACTTTGGGTCCACATTTGGAGTGAACATAGTTCAAGTTCAAGGTGATAAGTCAGGGGATTACCAACCAATACCCCTTCTGGAACGACAGTTTCCACTGCAAAATCATGCAACATCTATGTGCTGAGGATTTGAAATCTTGGACTCTTGAAGCCTATGCTTCATGACGACATTAAGCACCTAGCTCAGCCAGTTCAATTCCAAAAATATTCTAAAGTTCGAGACTCCCAGAGCTTCTCATCTCGGCACCCACCGAGTCCTCCATCTCCTTCGCCTGCCGCGCGAGGGCCGCTTGCGCCGCTTGCCGCTCGCGCTCCTTGCCGCTGAAACCGGGGTGCCAGGCCCCGGAATCTCCGCAGGTGCCGAGAGTTGAGTTGCGCCGACAGTTGAGGTCCGCCGTTCACAAGGTCACGGTTCAGGAAAAAGAAGGTTGAATCATGCTGAATATGTGATTTAATTCTTGCTTGAGAATGTGTGAAGAGAAAAGGATGCAGTACTGGATGCAGTCTATGCAGTCTTAACCTGCACCCTAACTATTCAGGTTGATTCAGCGAAGCCAAGCTTTAAGTCGACACCCTGCCAGCAGGCAAAGCTTAAATGCATGTGTTTCCATGCTCAGGGCCCATGGCCAAGCAGTTGAGGTTGAAAAACAGCTTGAAAGATTGGAAGTTCCAGAACTGCCAGAACTTCAATTCTCATCTCTGACCTTCTTGCTTATGACCTTCCTTAGTCATCTTCTAAAAGATAAACGAAGGGCTCCTCAGTTTGCCATTGGCATGACCCTTCATTCGCCGCAGACTTTGCGTCGAAACAACACATGGTGGCTGCTCATGGTTAATCAAAGTCTCATTCCTCTGATTGCTGAGGATCTTTAGTCAACTGGTCATCTCTCCCGCATGTGCCCGATGGAAAAAAGGAACCTTGCAATTCCATTGGTGATTGAGCAAACCACCTAGCGTTGGCTGTGACAAAACCATACAAAACCGGTTCGTACTTTATCAATAGAGTCACACTTAGATGTCCATCACAATCTTGTCTGATAACAGTTCCACGGATATATATACACAGAAATAAAGAGATCCCAGAACACACCTAGTGCTTCACTTCCAAAGCACTTCGCTTCACTTCCAGGGCACTTCTGGAATGGATCTTCCATCCAAGAAAAAGGTGACCTCATGAAAGGTACTGTACCTTCTCTCCTAAAATGGCCACTGGAAAACAATTATATTCCTCCACCAAACAAGGGGGTTATCAACTTCCACACGATCCACACGATCCATACGCGTCCACACGTCCCTGGCTACCAGGCCTTCTCTACCCCGAAGGCTGCTCGTACGGTTTCCTCGTGTTGAAGGTGCTCCTGAAGCGCCGCGATACTCCCCTGCAGATTGACATGGAACCCTAAAACCACTTGGTTGTATGGGAAAATGGTCTTCCACGAACTTCCATGGATCCATTCTCAGGCTCCCCTTTGAGTTTCCGAGGGGTGTACGAAAGTGTCAGCAACCACACTTATTCGTGGGGTATCTTGGACAGGCCTTGCTATTTGGGGCTCCAGCGCTCTCAGTGGGCCAGGGGTGGAGGTGCCAGGAGAGAGGGAGAGAGAGAGAGAGATCTGGACCCATATCCGCTGCAACACGGCATCGTGGAGTCTTGGGTATCTGGTCCCTCTTTCTACACCGCTTTAAAACACATTCACTTGTTCTTGTACCAAACATCCCTTATGTTTCCTCTATCTTTCCTATACATGCATTTCAGTGTTGCGTCTATTTTTGCATAGCTGGTCGGCAAAATACAAGTATCTAGTCATTTTGCACGTCGCTCATGACCGTTTCCCATCCAAACCGTCGCGCCATTCACCTGGGCAAGCTTTCCTTACCCAAACACTCCGTCAAAACTGGATTATAGAAAAACACATATTTGAAAAATAATGAAACACACATATAACCCCTGAAATTAACCATCAGGTACGTACGAAAACATATGTATTCTTGTGCCAGCCTGGTTTCAAACAGGCTTGGCTGGACATCTTCAAGTCTTTTCAAGGGACCTTTCAGAAGCATTATCGTTGTCAACCCCCCACACAACCAAACTGCATGGATCATAAAGTATTGTCACGGTCGCAAAGGATTCTTCAAAGATAGCCTTGTCCCAGCTAATGTCAGGTCAAACTGCCAGCACCATCTACCATCCAGTTTTGCTCATCATCTACGACCGTGCCGTCCAAAATGCGAAACATTTGGGTTCGGTTCGGTTCGGCCGAACCGCGGTGTGTGCGCTTCTAGGCCTGGCCTGGCCTGCCGAAGCAACCCGGTGCGCTCCCAGGCGAACGAGATGCGTAGCGCACCTGGAGAGCCTTGTGATGCTTCGTGTCTTGTGCCTGGCCGCTCGCGTCACGGCCGCCGCTCGCGTCACGGCCGCCCTGACGGACCTGGCGCACCCTGGAGACGAGTCGTCCGTGGTGGAGATTGCACTTATTGAGGTCAAACATCCTGAGAAAGTGGTTAGACCCCCCCAAACCCACCCTAACCATCTTCTCGGTAGTTGGAGCCCTAAGGAAAGAACCCCCCCCTAAGAATTCGGGCCTGCACCAATTAAGCCGGCTTTGATTTGGGTCCGGACTCCGGCGTTTCGGTGTGGGGTGCAAACCACAACAGCTGGCTAATCTCCTCCATGGCAGTGCGCCAAATGACTACGTGTCCGCATGACTACACCCCACATACCCAATGGCCTAACAGGCCAAAGACTGCTTCAACTAGAACCTTGTTCTCTTCAACAAACAAGCAACTTCCAATGTTTGCAGGGTTTTCATGTGTTGTTTTTGCGGTGTCTGTCTGCGCCTTTGGTTCTCTCCAGCCTGGAGGGTTTTCTTCAACTCATCATGTTGAGCTTGGAGATCCTAATGGCCGATGGGATAGGAAGAGACATGAAGAGACCCTATTTCAGAACATGGCCTAAACCCCAAAGGAGAAATAATGGACAGCAAGACAAACATCAACACCACACCGCGCTAAAAACAAACTCCCTCATTATTATAGTTCCCAAAATGGGTCCGCAGAATATATCTGGGTTCAGTCTGTAACCTGTGGTCGACCGACTGGCACTCGACCGTTAAGCCTTGTTGAGGGGTGGTTGAAACAGCGGAAAAGCCAAAACCACACTTCCACGGTTTGCACTCACCAAAATCATTCCCAAACACTCCATGGGACTGCCATATATATGACTACACTGACCTCCAAAACCACCCGAATATAGGCATGTATGGCTTTCATGGAGTGTCTGGGTATTGTGTTTTTCGTGTTCTCGCCATCCAAAGCTGGAATTGTCTCCAGCGATAGCCTTCAGGTCAAGCTCAATCAGGAAGGGATTGCGGGTGTCCTTTAATAACTTGGAGTTTCCTCAGGGTGTGAACCAACCCGACTGGAGGTCCAGAGATCCAGGGGTCTGGTGCGTTTGGGTTTGCAAAAGTGGAGTCCTCGGTTCTTGTTTCTGATAGCAAACATGGTTTTCTGCGGCAGGGAAAGGAAGACAAGTCAAGAAAAAGGGTCTCCCTCCAATTCGTCTTCTGAGGACGAATCAAACATAAGGACCGACGCAAAAGCCAGACACATTCCGGGGGAAAGCGCCAGGCTCGGGGCCGACTCCACTGATGAGGCTGAGGAACTTCGTGAATTCCGACGCCAGGCAGAGATTCAGAAAATTAGAGATGAAGTGCTCCGTTCTATGCCTTCGCAACCTTCCAAGACCAAGTTAGACAAGGTGGAGGCTGACAAGGGAGTGGAAGGGGAGTCTTTCACACCAAAAACCAAAACACTGCTACAAGCCCAGTCTCGGATCCTTACCCCAGAAGGGGTGTGCAAACGCATATGGGAAGATGTTTATGTCCAGCTCAACAGTAGCCTTGCTGCCGACATCAAGACCTTGTGTGGTCAGCTGTGTGCGCAAACTCCCCGCACAAAGGGTGAATGCATTAGCAAAATCGTGGATGCCTTGCAAGACCGTGACTGCAGACATGGGGCCGGGCTGAGTGGTCTCCCGCGGTCTGCTGGTCGAGCCTGTAAAGACTCCCTGGCTGCTACGTGGGTTCAGAGCATTCAGCTGCGTACAAAGGTATGGCTTTGTCTATGTCTTTTCTGTGGCATTTCAGTTTTTCTTGGCTATGGATTCGGATTCATGTGATTTCTGGCTGCCTTTCCCATTGGGGCGTGCTGTGCGGTATGTACAGGCGCCTTCAAACAAATCAGACGGGATGAATACTTCATTTTCAGCTTTATCCAGACACAGACTCACCTTCCTTTAGCCACGGTGACGTCTGGTGCTCTGATTTTTGCTGGGAAGCATGCTTTCGGTAGTCCTAGAATGAAACAGATCGCAGATACCCTGCGAACACCTGTTCGTAGAGTGAATCCTTTCCCTGGTTCCCCTCCCAGGGACATCCGAAGAGCTTTGTTCCACTGAGGGTGGTTTTTGGAGTTTTTGGATCCGGGTAATTGAAATTGTCAGTATGGTATTGCTACGGTTTTTTTGCCTGTGGCATGTCAACCTTGATCTGATGCAGCCTACATATGAGTCAAGCTCACGATGGTAGTATAGGGGTGCGACGCAGCAGACCGGGCGCTTACAAAAAACCCCTGGCCCGGATCGTCGTGACGAAAAAAGACAGGGCGTGCGCGAAACCCTGCTTTTTGACTGTAGTGTTTCTGATAGCAAACATTGTTCCTAGTAGTAAGGCCAGGAGCCCCATTGGAGCATCCTTGCTCCTAGTAGCGATGCCCTTTGCTCCTAGTAGCGTTCTTGAAGGAGGCGTTGTGAAAGATTGGCCGAACAAACGCCACCTGCAAGAGAAACCTTCTAGAAAACACTCGGAGCACTGAGAGGAATCTCTGATCACTGTCAAATCCAGCACCATAGGTCCACCAACAATATATATATATATAGATCTATATTTGTTTCAAACCCGAATTATTATTGCAAGTATCATACAATATCCAAGATAGGGACACCTTGCTAACCCTGCTGGACAGATTTGATAAGCAAAACTAGGCATCCGGTTGGTTCAGATCGCCAATGCACATGTCCTGCAAAGCTTTTCCTTGCTTGGTGTCAGTTGCCTTGCCAGCGCTGCACAACTGGGCACCATGACAAACCAAACATGAGTTGAACGACTTTTTTGTATAGAAATTTGGCCAAAGTCAACGAAAAGTAGTGGCGATTGTTGTGTTGGGCTGAATCTATCCTATGGCCCGATAACAAAAAGCTGACTCAATCTGTCTGCGCTTCTTCACTATCCAGAAAAGCCTGCAGTGCACACACACCAGATGGTTGGAGGATCAAAGAAATAAGTATCAACAAACACAAATACCATTATGGATAGACAAAAGCAACATCTGGCGATGCTTCAATAAAAACTCAGGACAAGCGAGAGTCAGTTGTGTAAGAATACTGTAAACACTTTGAACACGTAGCCGCAGTAAAAGCAACACTGTAGTAGTCGTAGTAATCGCCCTCGTGGAAGTAGTGGTGGCAGCAGAAGTAGTCGTAGTAAACAATAGGAAAGTGTAGTAGTAGTAGTAGTAGTAGTAGTAGTAGTAGTAG